AATTTCAGCACAGAGCAGAAAATAAATTATAAACTGGAGGATCCCACAAACAGCACCTGTAGATATAAATAATAGACTAATAAAAAGCATAGCATGCTATTAATATTTTATATAAGATCAATCTGTTGACATTCAGGTGTGCTTATACTTAATAAGGTACACAAGTATACAAACGTCTATATCCTGAAAAACAAAATAAACAGTACTTCTGCACTGTTGTCACCAGTGTATTATGATGTTTCCTTACATAAGGGTATGACATTTACAGGTGAATGTCTCAGAGAAAGGCACTATGTTGTATTGAATGAATATAAAACACTTATCATATTGTGGCTGCTATAATTAACAAATAAAATATGGCTTTGCAGAGTGTAAAGATGCACAAAATTATAGACAACTATTTTTAAAAAATTCTATTTAAAGTGTAAAAACCATCTAGTGACATTGATGGACATTTGTCTCTGTCATTCCTGGAAAAAACAAAAACAAACATTGCTTATGAAAAGTATAAAAAATATTTCAGAATGTTGGTTTTATTAATGAAAGGATGCACAAATATTTTACCCTGATGGTGTAAGGGAGCCTGGCATTTCAGCAGGTGCCCGAATAACTAAATCAGAACAAACCACCACACTCCAACCATCCCATTGTTCTCTTCATCTGTACAAAAGGAATCTGCAACCAAAACAGACCCAGTGCCCTGGCCACGTGCATTATTGGGATTTTCATTGTGTTGACAAGGCGGGTGGGTGGGTTAGAGCATGGCTCTGTTCTCCCTGCTGTCATCTGCACAACCCTTCATTGCTTGTGCTGGCATTTTGTACCGATGGGTGCTGTTTGATGTGGAGACAGCAATAAGAGAGGGAAAATGCTCTCCCCATGTTTTTTCTGACCACCTTTTCCAGCACCACATAGCCTAACTTTTGCTTGTTCTAGGCTTGGGAAACAGTGAAAGCAGAGTTTTCATGAAGGAGAACCCTGTGTGGAGCACGAACCAGTCAGTTAGAAGGAAAAGGATTGGGCCCCCGAAGTAAACTAATAAAAAACAAACTTAGTCTTTTGTCATTCCCCTCTCTCAGGCCACTTGAAAATAATTTTAGATTAGAATCACAGAATATTTTGTGTTGAAAGAGACCTTTAAAGGTCATCTAGTCCAACCCTTTGCAATGAGTAGGAACATCTTTAACTACCTCAGGTTATATATGTTCTCTTTAGGTAATTTGGAGATTCAGTACACAGCAGTTTTGGGCCCTTGGTTTCTCGTCTAGATGAGATGAGCTGCACAAATCATCTCTCTTTCCCACACTTATTTATCTTGTGAGCAATTGTATTTATTGAAATCAACATGAAGATGATAGATCAGAGGCTAAAACTCTGTCTTGAATGAAGAAATAATGGAATAGAGCCGGATGAGAGAGAAGCCTTAAAGAAGGGATGGAGTGCCTGAAATCTTCCCTCCTTTCTTTTTTCCCCCTAATCTATCAGTTGCAATATAAATTATAATTCTCCCTTCGCCTAAATCTTGCCCTGCCTCTGTTTCCAGACCTCTGGCTGTAAGAGCACAACCATCACCATTTACAGTCATCTCCAAAGTAGTATCTTATGGCAACAGATGAAGTCAGATCAGACCATGTAATCACTTCCCTATGGCTGTCCTAAAAAGAGCCTTCTTAACACTCACAGGCTCGTTTCATGTGGTACTCAGAGCACAAAATTTCTGGGGCAATCGGCTGTATGATCCCACCAGTTATCTCACTGTCTGCCTGCTCTCCTTTTCCATTTTCTGGCTTTGCCATAGGAAGAATGCCATGGATAACAAGCCTGGCTGCAAGGGCCACAGCTTTCCCTTCTTCAGGCATGCTTGTGGGCAAATTACTTTGCTGTTTCTGCATGTGGGGCTCTGAATTTGATGGGCTGAGGCATCTTACATGTCCTGGCACCAGAAGTTAGTCTGTAAAGATTTCCAAAGCCAGCAAAACCTACTAAAAGTAACAGGCATCTCCAGACTGAATCACTAGACTCACAAAAAGCATTATTTCCACTCTGGTTTTGAGGCATTATTTCTGCTTCTTCTGCTGGTATCTTAGCATCCTATCTCTCAAGTACTCTGTTATGACAAGATTGGTTCAACAATTAAGTGAGGATTGACTTTTCCAGCAGCACCTACAGTGGCATTGTGATGGGCAAAGAAGCTGTTTGTTGCCACTGCTGTTTAGTTCACCTTAAAAGATATCTTGTGGTCTTCATGTTAAGCTGCTTTGCAAAATCACTCTAACACATGATCAGAAGGAAGGAAAGAATACTCTGAGGCTTGTGTTTGACAAGAAACCTAGTCCTTCATTTTCCTGTGTGGTTGCCCTTCTCCTTTCTCCTCTCTTTCCAGCAGCCCTCTATGCCTTTTTCTGTTTACCACATGGTGCAAAGGCCAGGACTTCAACCATCTACTTTCTAAGGTGGTGTTTGTGGTAGGAAATTCATGCCTTCAAAAATGCACACAGCTTGTGACAAAGACATATCTTCATCTAGAAGGCACCACACTGCTCTCTGTTGCTGTGTCAATGAATAATTAATAGAGTGAAATAATTATATGCAATAGATTTTACCTTCCTGTAATTTGCTACTTGTTCCCAATGTTTCTGGAAAGCAAATGACCCAGAGTTACTGAGTTCTTTTACTTTTAACCCATACCTGGCTCACCTGGAATTGCTTTGGCTTAGATCACGTTGCTTGGGCATGATATTTAAAAATACTTCAGACTGTAAGCAACCTTCTACTAAATAGTAATAAGTGTTCAAGTAAATTCTGGTTAGGGTAGGAGCAGCTGCAGGGTAACAGGTTTTTGGATTAAAGGAACAATTATTTATCTGGCATAAAGGGTGCACATACTGGCTTAACCTGGCAAGGAGATGAACTTTAATATGACACTGATTTCAGTACAGTCTCACTCGTTATAAAATCTAGAGACTCATTGAAGTAAATAAATATGTAGACAGTGCTACTGTTTTCTTGACACGTATATATATATACACGTGTGCATGTGCATTGTGTGGCAGATGCCAAACAAACAGATCTACTCAGTGTTAACGCTCTTCACAAATGTACCTGACAGACCAGAAGTTGGAAAATGTTGCTTGAAAATATTTACAGGTTTCTGGAAAAAAAAAAAAGAAAATCTACCAAAGAAAACCCAAACACACCAAAACAACACAGACCCAAAATTCTTCACGCATGTGGCACCAGATTTTTGTGTTTGAGCGTATGAGCTCATTAATTGTAGCTTTGAGCTGCGTAAAAATGTGCATCAGTGCCCTTGATGTGCCTATATTTTGGTGATGCATGAATTGTCTCTATATCCTGTCTAAGAAGTGGACACTAATATCTGCCCTGGAAAATAATTAGAAGTCATAAAATACCCTTCTGTACTGAGTCAGGATCTCACCCATCTGGGATTGATACCAAGAGATGTTCTTTTCTGGTGTTGCTGTCAGCACAAATGTTTAAATATACCTTCAAGAGCTGAAATATTTGGAAAGAAATTCTGTTTGCCTTATGTAAGCAAGAAATAGTCTGCATTTAATGAAGGTTCATCCTTCAGTCTGTCTCTGTGAGAAGAGGAACAGAGTCACCTTAATTTTAAGAGGGCTGAATGTGTAAGTTGATAAAGAAAAAGGTGTAAGATCTTGCCTAAAGTGAGCTTTTAATCATCATTCTATTCTCTTCTGTTCTATTCTATTCTATTCTATTCTCATTATAGAATTAGGTTAGAAGCTTAAATTTTTAAGCACAGCTGTGAGCTTTTGTAGTTACAAAAGGTAAGGTGTTCACAGGAAAAAAGAAACTATCAGGGTATTTTGAAAGATGCAGTGTGCTTCCTTTAAGCATGAGTGATGAGTACAGATTAATTCTGCTCTAAGAAGGTATTCACATCATCATCCTCGAATAAACCATCTGAACTCCTTCTAGTAGTGCCTTGAATTATATGATATTTTGGATCACTGTCATATGCAGCTCATTCTTCTTTTTCTCATCTTTCCCCCAGGGAATAATAGTGCATGCAGTGGTAAGGTTTATTTCTTCCACAGATTTTTTTTGTTAAAGTCAGGCTGGAGAAGGCAGGTCAAAGAAAAGTGTTTTGTGTTTGGTGATAAAATATGTGTTAGTCCTTACGATTATTTCTTTTTCTTTTCCCAGGGAGTTTGTTCTACTCTCTTGGATCGGTTGAAGAGAAAGTTTTCTCTCTTTCTTTCTCTCACACTAACTTTAAGTTAAAAGCTCAGTTTTGCCTGAGGAGTTATTGATCACAGTCTTGACTGAAAGATTTGGTGATCATTCAGCAGTTTTAGACTCAGGACAAGTAATTGCCACTCTCAAGAAATAAACAATTGCAGAGCTAACCTGAGATAAACTGTTGTAGTTCAATAGATTTCAATCGTTAATATCAGCTGAGGATTTGACCTAACTTTGGAAAGAATTTATGAGTTCAAAGGTGTGGAAAGCTGTTCTTGCTGCAAATCACTGCACACCAATAGTGCTCTTGCACCTTTGTAATCCTAAATTCTGCTATGAGAGTTAAATTTAGCATTTCTCATTATAATCAACATCCCAATATTTTCACAAACTCTGTTTTTGTTTGTTTTTTTTAAATTGTGAGTGAGGGTTCAATCTTATTTTTTTAATCATACTAGATTGGCAATACCTTAGTGATAATCAGTAATTTTTTCAGAGCATGAAATCAAATGATATCAAATAACCATAACAAGGTGTTTTGACTGTAAATCTTATGAGATCTAATTAATAATTCATTGTTCTCACACTGAAATTCCAATACATTCATTTATCTCAATAATATTACAGAAAGCCAAAGCACACACACCCTAAGAAAAACCAAACCCAAACAAAACCAACCACAAGAGAACCGCAGAATTGTTCTTCATGGTTGAGTTTGTCAAAACACAGTAGAGGAGATTTCCCTCACTTTGATATTTATTTTTTTTTTGTAGGTGGCACCTGTGTTGTCAACCCCACCGACCTGTTCTGCTCTGTTCCTGGTCGCTTGTCTCTGCTCAGCTCCACTTCCAAGTACAAAGTGACCATCGCAGAGGTGAAGAGGCGCCTGTCACCACCAGAGTGCCTCAACGCCTCCCTCCTCGGAGGTATTTTGAGAAGGTAAGTCGAAGGTGAGGATAAAAACTCCTAGACAATGCTGTAGTTGCTGTAACTTTTTTATTTTCAACAGATGGGCTTAATTCTTTTCCCCCTACTTGGATAGTGGTCGCATTTGAGGTGAACAGAAGGGAATGGATGAGGAGGGAACGCTGGGGAATTTTTAGTAAATTAGCAAGTTTACATTTTTCATCAAACTGGTGTTTTTTTGACCTCCTCTGTTCAGTTACTCATCAGGTGTGGATAGATGTAGCTTTGACTTGTTTTGAGCAAAAAGAAAGGGAAATTCAATGTGTGGAAAATTTCACCAGACCTAGAAATCTAAATTCTTGCTGAGAAACAGTCTTAAAGCAAATAATTTTGCAATAGTTACAGCCCTTACTCAACAAAAAAATAAAACACCGAGGTGTAGGAATGCCTTTTTTTTACCTTCTTCTGCATATTTTTTTTAAGCACAAAAAAGAGAGAAGAAGATGGTTTTACTTTTCTCGTTGTGAGATACTGGGGGAGAAGCAAATAATTAGGTAAAGTTTTGCCTCTGACCCTTCACTGACCAGAGCAGACACCTGCAGAGAGAAGGAGCAGAAAGAAAGAAAGGGGCAGGCTGTGCCTCACATTGCAAGAGGAAAAGTAGGAGACAACTGTAATTCAGCCAGGCATATCGAAGTCACGGTGTCCCTGAGGCGTCAGCTCAGATGGCATCAGCTGCCTGAACACCCTTTGATCAAAACTAGCTGGAAAGTCATCGGCTATTTCACTGCTGGCACTGAAGGCCACACTGATCCTTGTGCTTATAGTGAAAGTCATTTTACCCAGCCTGAGACATGCAGGCACTCCAGAGCTGTCTCGAGACATCTTGGAGAGAAATGACTATAGACCATAAATTGTTTTCAAGGCATAAGTCCCATTCAACTGCCTCTATGGGCAATGGAATCCAAAATCTACATTCACCAAAATTTTCCCCTCTATTTGTCTCCGCCTGGAGAAACTTTCAGCTAATTTTCATTTTAAATACTCGTGCTGCAGATTGCATCAATACATCAGTATGGATTCAAGGGCATCAACTTGAATGTGGGGGCTCATTTCTCTGTTAAAATGTTTGAATGATCCCCACCGGTTTTTGACCTAGACTAAATATCTCCTCTCCCAAACTGACCCTGGGCATGGTTCAGGACTTTGCAAAAGCCAAGGACTCCTCCCTGTCTGCAGTTTGGATGTGCTAATTCAGTTTTATGAATCAGAGAGAGCAATGGAACAGATTTGGTCAGTTTGTAACTGAGGGTTTCACAGCTGGGGAACAGACTCAAACACTCTGTGTTTGACCAGGAAAGATGTAAGAAAACAAAATCTCATTGACTGTTTGCCTGAGACCTTGAAGGCTTGTTTTTGCATCCTGTCAGCAGCCACTGGTTACCTATTTTCCCAAATACCTTGCTTTGGGAATAAATTGCTCTCCTGAATAAAGAAAAAATTCTTTTCAGAAGATATTTCCTGACAAACAATTGGCCAAAGTTGTGGTATTTTTTAATGCATAAAAAGAGACATCCAAATGGTGATATTCCATGTTTGGTTTCTTCTTCTGCCTGAAGGAACTTGAACATGAACCTCAAAATGTTTATTTAATTAGTTTTTCTACTCCGTTATTACTTTTTCTAAACTGAGGGTACCTCAATCTTCTTTGGGGTTAATTATGTATTTCTTGTACAAAAAGCAAAGGTCTAGACTCTTATCTAATTAATGGACAGGTCATTTTTGGGGTGGTAGGTATCAGGGTTCCAGTCACTGTTTCATTAATTGTTTAAGCATTTTAACATTGGTTATTTGGTGTCAGCTGACTGTTGCACCTCTTTGAAAGATACGGGTTAAAATTCACTCAGGCTGAGGAAGAATTTGAACCTACACCTGCTGCATAAGTGGATTTGTCTGAAATGCCTCAAACACTGAGGTGCAGCAGAAAAGCAGCTGGGACACACCAGGACCCATTCTGTGAGAATGGTGGGATGTAGGTGTTTGGCACAGGGGCACAGATAGCCAGTGATGGCTGAGATTTTGGCTTCAGCATTTCCTATTCCCTTGGCCTTCTTGCTTGTGAGTTTTGGGGTTTATAAACAACATTTCTAAATACCCAGATCTTGACATAAATTATAGAGGGATAGTTAGAGCTGGTTTCCACATAGACATCTACATTTAAGTAGCTATGTGGCTTCCTTTAATAGCCAGGCAAGCCAGATGAGTAAAGTTCACTCATTGTGGATATCTGTTTAATCTAATCCTAGAGAGTCATGTTTTCTCTCTACTTTGTCTTTGGAGCCTGGCTTGGCTAAATCAGATATAAGCATTTGCACTGCCAGTATTTACATTTAGTCACTGTAACCCCAGGTGCCATGCCCAAATCAGGACATTGGGCTCCACTAGGTGGAAACTGCCTGAAGATCTGATGCCCTCATGACAGGCATTAAAACCTCTAACTGTGCCAAAGAGCCAATGTTAAAGAATCACCTAGAGCAAGCAGGAAATTAGGAATACAGCTCTGAAATATTTCCCATGGAGATACTGCAGGCATTACCCCACATATTCATTAATGAAGTGTGTACAATTTGTAGGCTTATATTAACATGGGGGAAAGGTGCAGAATAATGACAAATATCTCTCTTTCCTGCTGTTCTCTCATGACAGAGCAAAATCCAAGAACGGAGGACGCTGCTTGCGAGAAAAATTAGACAGACTTGGACTAAATTTGCCTGCAGGAAGAAGAAAAGCAGCAAATGTCACACTCCTGACTTCCCTGGTAGAAGGTAGGGTCTCTAATATTGCAATATAATAGAATTAAAATGTTTCATGGCGTGCAACCCTTTTCAGCCATAGGGTTAAATTCCACGATCTGTATTTTGTATAAAGAGACCTGACTTGCCTAAAGCAACAGAAAGAGTGAGTGGCAGAATGGAAGTTTACTCTTAGATATCTTGGCTCCTAGCAAGTGTCTTGGTCCTGCAGTTTCCTCAGCATTGATTTGTGCTTACAAATCGATGTTCTGAGTGTTCTTGTGAGAGAGATGAATGTCTTATACTAACTCTGTAAGTAGGTTTGTTTATCCTCCTTTTTTTTTTTTTTAACTTATGAATTTCCTGGAGTTGGTCCAAAAATGTGATGATTTTTTTTTTCTCCCATAAGAAAGCATAATATTTAGACAAGCCTTTTCCCCACACACATAAATGAATGAAATCTGTTTTCAGATAATATCTAGACAGGCTCAGGAGATTCTTTCTTGGCCTTTATTTGTTGTTTAAATATCATTCACCAAATACTGCCAGGTTCTTCAAACCTTCAGCTGGGAGATGCAGGTTCAAACCCCTCAGGCAAAGGGAAGAAACTCTACCTGCATGTCTTCTGTTCTGGGTGAATCCACTAAGTACCCAGTTTGTTGTTTGGCTGTGAGATGCAGCTCTGGGAATTTCAGATCCCTCCTCCTTGATGCTGAGACAACTCAGCTCATCCTAAAGGTCAATACTTCCTACAATCATAGCCTGAAAGGTCCATACAGATCTAGGCAAGTAGGCTGAGGTCTCAGCACGTATTATCACAGAATTACAGAAGGATTGAGGCTGGAAGACACCTCTGGTGATCTCCCAGTCCAATCCTCCTGCTCCAAGCAGGGTCAATTAGAAGAGCTTGCTCAGGACTTCGTGAGTTTTTTATTATCCCAAAGGGTGGAGACTCTTCAAGGTAGAAATAGCGTTGAATCCTCAACACTGGAGGTTTTCAGCATCTGTGACAAGGGACTGAGATTTTCAGGGGTCACTGGGCACAGAAAGTTCAGTGGGGCTGCTCTGAAACACAGGTGTGTCCATATCACATCTGCTTGCAAGAGGAAGCTCTCATGGAGCTGCAGTCTTAGAAAAGATACCAAGTTAGAGGAGCAAGGGCTGTTCCCACCTTCAGGCATCTCGGGTCAGGGCAGAATAAACACAGCTGGGTTTTATTAGTAAACAGAGCAATGGCTTTAAGCTGAAATCTGAAATTAGGAAGAAAATCTTGCCTGTGAGGGTGGTGAGGCCTTGGCACAGGATGCCCAGAGAAGGTGTGCCTGCTCCTGGATCCCTGGAAGTGTCCAAGGCCAGGCTGGACAGGGCTTGGAGCAAGCTGGGATAGTGGAAGGTGTCCCTGCCTATGACAGGGTGTGGAGCTGGTTGATCTTTAAGGTTTCTTCCAACCCAGACCATTCCATGGTTCTGGGATTCTATGTGACCAGCTATTCATTCATCAGAAGAGCCTGAGAGGGAGGCACCTGTCTGACAACTGCTGGCCTGGGGCTGATGGCTGAGAACCTTTACTGTAAGTCAGGATGAGATTCCTGCTTCCCAGAAATGCAGCTGTGCCCACCCCCCTGCCTTTATTCAAAGCCAGGAACAAACCTGCTATCAAACCTCTGGTGTTGCCTCTGTTCTTGGGCTGCCTTGCTGTGAGTCCTAAAGATAAATGCTGGTGTGCCTGAGCTCACTTTGGCAGAGACCTTTTTGCCTGGATATGCTAATAGTGAATTGTAGCCAATGGAATTTTCGGGAATGGCACCACTGTGTTAACATTTTAACAGAAAATAAGTGAAGCTCATTTCCTGTCTGTGTAACTAATCCTGGGTCAAACTTGGAGGTGCTCATTGAATTCTTGGTGGTATAAGCTGTCCTCACTTTGGACATGCAGATATTCCCTCCAGGTGGAACTAACTTACAGCACAATTTCTTCAAGGAAAACCAAACTTCATTGGTTCCTGCTGCTGGAGGAGGCAGAAATGGAAGGACACAGGCTTATTCTGTGGTTCAGACAATTCAGAGAGAAGGCAGCATGAGATTTTCCTGTGTGATAGCAATACATAAATTGAAATAATAATAATAATTTGTTAGTTTTATTTATTTAAATCTCCAAAATATCAGGTACACTTTGTGTACCTCTCATAGGAACCCAGGATTGTGTCACTCTTGACTTCTCTATATGGTTCTAAATTTATTATTATTAAAGGTCCTCACGGTCTTCAATATATTGAGTTTTTAATATCATTTGAAGGTAAAACCATGCCCAACCTCTTGAATATCTATGTGATACAAGATAAAGCAAAATTAGTTGCATTATTGACCAAAACCAAGTCAAAAATCTCTGGCAAGATTCATACATCTCCTCCTCTAAAATGCACTAAAATAATTGAGTTTTGGGGAGTCTGTTAAGCTCCAGGAGGAACTGAAATTTATTTCTAGGCTTTGAAGATCCAGATTTTATGAAAATTATTCTGTGGCCTCCTATTTTCTGCAAAGTTTTTCTCTTTGGAGTTCTGCTCTGCTGCAGGATGCTTACTGCTGGCTTGATCAGGTCTCATCTTTAGAGAGTCTTTGCCAGGGACATCTGCGGCCCAAAATAAGAATTGTTTGACAGATCAGTTCTGTTCTCTTTGTCATGCACATAAATCAGCACAACGATCAGAAAGGCAGACAGGGAGGATGAAGTCAGTGTCGCAGGACTCTCCTGAGCAGTTTGGGGACACATCTTTGCACAACCTGCAGGCGAGGGATGCCCTCTAGTGCCTGGACTAGATGGAGGGAAAGGTCATTTTTCTTACGAGCTCCAAAAGGAAAATTCCAACATATTAGCTGTAAAATAAAGGCTCCTTGGATAAATTCTAGTATTTCCAAGGCTAAGCTTTACTGCGGGCTCAAAAGAGTCAAAAGCTTCTCCAGTGGGAGCAAGGAAGGATGTGAAAAGAGGTGATGTGTTCCCTTCTGTTTGAATGGGTCACTTACAAAACATAAATGTGATTGCAGATGCAGGGTAAAGCAGTGCATGAATGATTTTTGAACCATCAGATTAAAAAAAAAAAAAAAGGAAAAAAAAAACTAATAAAAAATTCTAGAGTTTGTTTTGCTGTCAAACCTGATTAGGACTGAATTTCCTAGACACACAATTAATGACATTCAACATTTGGGGACCAAAACTCTTGAGAAAAATAGGTCAGTGGTTTCTTTTTTCATCGTGCTCTCAACTATCACACTTCTCCCCCACCAGCCTTTGTTTAAATATCCTTCCACTTGTTCCTCCTCTCTTCTCACCCTACAAATAGAATAAACTTCCCTTCCACCTCCCGCCTGTCCCTCCTCCCCCTGAGTAACATTTCTGCTGGGTAGAGCATCCGGAGGAGGCACAGCCGAGGAGAGAGTGGGAGGTTGAGATGCCGAGTGTCCCTCTCCTGGGGACACGGCTCCTGCCTTCACCCCGCACAGGAGCAGCTCTCGCTCTTGCTGGCCCCCCATGCCACTCCTTCCAGCTGCCCACAGAAACCTTTTGAGGTGCTACTCACCCCACCGAGGCTTTCCAGAGCTGTCCCTGCCAGTTCTGCTCCAGCACCTCTCCTTTTCCATCTTGCAAAGCTCTCTGGTCAGCTGTCAAACCGCGGGGCAGAGGCAGCGCTGCAGAGCTGGGTTCAAGGGGAGCCCAAGATTCCCAACATCTGTTCTTCGTCTGGGGGTGTCACACACGGGCAAATTGGACTTTAGGTTGAATTTAGATTGAAAAAAGGCAAGTAACTAGAAAAGTCAGGGGGTTTAGTGGTTTCTACCTTTATCACTATTCCTACCCTGATGTAAATAACAGCTAGGCAGAAGATGGGAAATCTAAGGTAAAAGAAAAAAGACCAGTTCATCCGCATTTCCAACATTCACACGTTTTCTCTCAAAGTAAATGTTTGTCAGAATTATGCTGTAGAAAAAGAAGAAACAATTTCTATGACATTTTGTATAAACTACTTTCCCGCACCAAGCAGACTTAATCTTACTGTACAGTAATCAAAGGTACATCTATTCACAAAAAAAATAAGTATATCACAGTACACTTCTAAATATCAAATCATCATTTGGTCCTGGTTTAAAATTATATCTTTGCTCAACAATGAGATAGGAGAACTTATGTTTTGCAGAGTGTTCTCAAGTCCAAATTTTTATTTTAATTTAGAATTTGTAGTTATAGCTCAGGATGCCTACTCCTTATAGTATATGCATGCTTATATGAATAAATATGCATAGCTCTAACATGCATTTTTAGTATAAGTGAGCTTTCCATTTCCAGCAAATAATATTTTCAATTTTAATTTAAAGTATTTTAGTTATTACTTCATTAAAAACAGTAATTATATTTGTACCTACATTTTTACCAATCTATATCCATGAAGAGATAAGTAATTTTGTTTCTTTTTGCTCGAAAGGTTTTATATCACAATCCCAGCTCCAGACAGGTTTTATACTTTTGAATAATTTTCTCAGATTTTCAGAACAGCTCTAGCAAATTTTCAGCTCTAGCAAATAATATGAACCATCTTTGTAAGTATGAATTGCAATGACAATTCACATTTTCATTCCCTTTTTTCTAACAGTAAGTGGAAACATTCACATTTCAGTCACTTAGTTGTTGATCATGTTAAATGAATGCCTACACTTCAACACAAAAAGCTCTGCTCTCTTGAAGAAACCAAGACTTTTCCAGTGTCTAAATGCTTAAATACTTTGCTGTCTATATTCCTTGAGTTGTTACTGGGACTGACTGGGACCATGCTGAAGCTGTCTGGAGAATTGCAATTCCACCTGATGACAGCTTCAAAGGGTTTGACTTTTATTTTCTTTCCATGATGAAATGAAGATAAACCTATAAAGTATTTTAACAGAATTTAGTTGAAAAGAAAAACCTGATGCTCTTCTGAAATAGATTTACTCTGTAAGTCTTTGTTTAAGGAAGATTAAAAGAATATCTGAAATAGACGTTTTGCAACTACTCTACAGAATTGTAAAAATGATTGCTTAAATTTGTACCCTTTCTCACCCATGAAGAAGTCTGGGATACATGTTTGAAATGCAAAGCAATCAGTCAGCTCTACATCTTTTCATTCTGATTCTCTGTTAAGTTATCACTGAAATACATTTTGTTTTCACTGAAGATTATTTTACTTTCCTAGAAGGTACAAACTAAGTGGAAATTGTTTCTCCTTTCAGCTCAGAGATACTGATTGCTTGTAAACGTTTTAATTCTTTTTAGGAATATGGGAAATCATGTTTAAAAAAATCCAAACAAATCAGATGATTTTGACTATAATCTTCAATTTTTTTTCTGTAAAGTTGGTTACAGCTGCAGAGGTTGTATCTGGCTGCTATCAGCAAACAGATTGCCTGGGAGTGGTGCATGAATTTTGTCAGTACCTGAATAAACTGGGCAGATAAACACACAGTAAAGCGTTTTCTTGTGGAATCAAAAGGTGTTTTTCCATGAAAACTCCAGTGGTAGAAGGAGAGACAATAATATCTCAAAAGGGAAAGCACAGAGTTGAAGTAGAGGTCAGTGCATGAAGTTTCTTATTCCTCATACTCTCCCTGGCACAGGACCACTGTTTCCATGGAACTTCTCCTCTTCCTTGGCTTAACCAAGCCTTGCTGAGGATGGGATTCATCTCCCCATCTTCATTGCAATTGCACCTTCTCATGTTAGATCATAGTAAACAGGCAGAAATCAACACTTCTGGGTTTAATGATTTAATTTAATGATTAAATGAAGTTAAAATAATAATTAACCATTGTATTATGTTGCTCAGAATAGCTGTTGAATTTCCTTAGCAGGAAACATTCAAGACTAGGCTTGGAAAAGCCTTGAATAACCTCATCTAGGGCAATGCTGACAGCAGAAGGTGATTTCCTGAGTTCTAATCCAGACTTTCTATAATTCCTCTAATTCCCTTTTGCCTTCTACTCCAGTATAGGATGCTTCAAGTGCTACTTTGACTTGAAAGTATTAAGTCAGACATCAATATTGACATTTAATCTGATGAATTCCACTGCAGATATTCTCAAAGCGAGGAGTTGCATGTCCTGTATCCCTCCTTGGCAGCATCAGCCTTTTGAACTTCAAAGATCCAGAGTCCAATGCCACTTCTCCTGATGAAAATCAAACACACAACTCTGAAAAAAAAAAGAAAAGTGAAAAATCCACAACCCCTGAACTCCAAAACTATTCTGGAGCACATCTCTGTTAGTCACTCATGCAGATGTGTTCAACATATGCTTCTGGTAGCTGACCTATTTCTTCTTTCTGCGATGAGATGAGAACAAGTGTCATCTGGAAATGCCCATTTCCCACCAGGCAAAGACTAACTTAGGCACAGCTGTTCACAATCCAGGCGGCTGCTTTTGATCAGATAAATCCCACACCGAGGTTGTCAGAGTCACAGAGTGCAGGTCAGAGAGTTCAGTAAGCCCTAAAATTAAATTCTGGATTCTCTAAGATAGTGAAGAGGGTCCTGTCCTTTCAGAGGCATTTGGCAGTCAGCACAGAGTTGGGTTCTTGTGTTCAGTCTTTGCAATGAGGTAGAGAGGGGCTCAGTGCAACTGTCTTTCTTCTTCATTATCTTCCCTTATTGTTTTGACTGGTCAGTTTTGTTTACTGGAAACAGTAAATTTTAATCCTTCTGGAAACAAGATTATTTATCGAGTTCTCCTGTGGGGTCTGCTCTTCTCTGGTGTGGAGCTTAACCTCTAAGCAAATGTACTGGAATGTGTGTTACCCACAAGGATCTTTCCTGGGGTAGAGGGCTCTAGACACAGGCAGTGAAGCACCAAAGGCTGACTCACTTCTTCAAAGTTGTTCATTCCAAATTTTTTCTTTTTCCATACCTTGAATATTGATGATGAACAGGGTTTGCAAAATTGGGCAGCTGCCCAATACTCACTGGTGGCGAGACAGGGCCAAGTGTCTTGGCCAGTATTTTCTCCTGAGGGGGACATCCTTCCATCTGATGAGAGAAATATCCTTCCTATCTTCTGCCTGGCACCAGCTGGTGGCTAAACATCAACAGAATTGGGCTGAAACATGTAACTGACTTGGGAATGACTGTCTACAGAAGTGGCTTGCTGATGTTTGGGTTTTTTTAGAGTGTAATAAATTCTGTAACAATAATAACAACAATATAATGATGCTGATGATAATAATAACCCTAAGAAATGACTGACCCATTTTGTTTGACCGCAGGGGAAGCACTACATTTGGCCAGAGATTTCGGCTACACCTGTGAAACAGAGTTCCCTGCCAAGGCAGTAGGAGAGCACATTGCCAGACAGCACATGGAACAGAAAGAGCAGACAGCGAGGAAAAAGATGATCCTAGCGACGAAGTAAGGAGGGAGGGGAGGCAAAAAAAGAAATCGGTCTGTCACTTCTCCATGTTGGATCTGTGGGCTGGGGGAGGGAGGAGTGGGAGTATGGAGCCGGGATTGTGGTGGCTGCTATCACAACAGTGCTCACTGGCTGCGGGTGAGTGAGATCCTCCTCGGAGATGCTGAAAGAGGGACCTTATTTACTGCAGTGAGGTTTTAGTGGCTGTGCTCTCACTGCCTGTGGTTAAGGGGGCACGTACATCTTCCCAGATGCTTTGGTTTAGGTGAGAACAGAGGATATTATTACATGGTAAGATCTAGGGGATGGAAGCTGGCTTTGTCTGCTGTTTGTGTGTGAGCAGGAGACCTGAGCCTTTGCTGAAGTACTGGTTACTGTTGGATAATTATCATTAGTCTGCTGAGGGAGAGCTGGTTTGCAGAAGGACAGATCCTCTCTGGATGCAAACTGCAAGAGCTCCCCTGAAGTCAAAGGCACTGGAACAATGTACAACAGCAGGGGAGCTTTGCTAAAGACATTAAAGACACAAAGAGGCATCAGACTTCACTCTAAACAAGCCACTCGTCTCCCTGGAGCAGTAACATCATGTTAGGATAACATTTCATCTAGGTTAATTAGCCTTGACGAGGGAAGAATTAGCCTTCATGAGCCATGGGAAACAGGAATAAATAGTCTGTGTGGAGTAGGGCAGACCTGCCCTAGGTGTGTGGTCTGACTGTGTGGGGTAACCTTGAACACGCTCACAGTCTTGCTGTGCTTACTGCAGTGTCATATTTGAGGTTGAAGTAGAGCTGAGACCAAAAATTTGAGCTCTCAAATTATCCCCTCCATGCTGGAAGTGTTTGAAAACCCTTCCAGGCTGTGATATATGCAACAGGGAGGAATTTCCCTGCACTAGGGGAAAGGGCTGGATTATCCTTTGTATCCCAATGTCCTGCTTGGCAAGATTCCTGGTCTTGGCATCCCTCTTGTATCCAGAGAACTTTGCCCTGACAGTGACCCAGAGATGTGATGCACTCAAACATCTCATGCTTGTGAATCCCATGAATATGGTCTGTGATCCTTTCCTGGAGTGATAAAAGCATCATCATGTGGATCAGCAGGAATTTTCTGGTTGTGAAGGTGATGAGAGACCTCATAGACCACGTTCCTAATTCCCCTGCACATTAAAAGGAATAATGTAAGTGGAATATTATCTTATTCTTACTTCTATCCACATTTAAGATCTCCAGGGGTTTCAAAGGCACGAGAATAAACCAGCTGGCCACAAGAAATTCCTCTCTGCAAGATGTGTCTCCCCACTGCTGTGTAGCCCATTAACATCCTGCCTCCTAGCTGAGGATTTGTCTCATTCACAGAACACAATTCAACCAAAATGATGTAAATCTTCCCATTTTTTCCCTGGCTCTAGTGAGAAATCATAAATCCATGGGTTGTAATAATTGGTGGATCACCTTTATGTCCTGTCCCCAAAGTCTGTGCCATGCAGGGACACGTAAGAGTCTCACTACCCTTTCTCACTGCCCCATATCCACTTTCTCAGCCTCCTTCACTACTGAGATGAGGCATCATGGGCATGCACTGCCTCTAACCCCCATGAACTTCAGGCCTATAGGCTGTTATCCAGCACTTGTTAGGAACAAAATTCCTTTTCTCCCCATCCTATCAGCTAAAAGCACCAGGAAATCGCGCAGGGGAGGTCTGTCAATAATAGAAAGGGCACATCCTACTGCAGTCAGCGCTGGTAACAGGGACAGATGGGTCAATGTGTGTGTTACTACTGCCCTCTCCTGCCTGCCAGCAGAACAGGGATTCCCAGTCTTGCCCAGGTGTTCCAGGAGACACACGCAGGTCCATGACATCGCAATATCAGCAAGGCATTTCCCAACCGTGTATCTGGTGCAAAGAGCTCTAGACAATCATCGGGACTTTCCACTACTCCCCAGCCATCCCAAAGCTGTAGGTTGGCAATTTCAGCAATTCCACAACTTTCCTGACTCATGGGCTTGTGAGTGATGACACCAGAAAAAGCAGGGGATTATTATGCTGCTGCCAAAACAGACACAGAAATTCCAGGGTGGTAAAATCACTCATGGCAAGCTTTGTCTGTGGAAAGAGCTGGAGTGCCACTGCCTGTGTGTGCTGCTGCTGCCCACTGTGGGACAAGGCCAGAAGCCCACAGAAGTGTTCACATGTGTGGTCTTGAGGAAAAATAAGGGGAAAGAACAAAGTTATTTCCATAATCCTCAGAATATAGGTGATGAGGAAAAACAAGTGGAAAAGGTAAAATTATTTCCACAGTTTTTCATATCTAGATGTACTTCCATTATGGATTTAGACATCCAAATTCATTGGCTCAATTCAGCTGCCAAAACACATGCACACACTGCCATTTGAGTTGAACTGGGTTATCCAGTTTGGCCATGAGCTGCTGCTCCAGGGGCACACAGATATCTTTTTGTTGCGGTGTTGTACTTGCCAGTGGCTAAGGATGTCTTGGGTATTACAAATCTACACGTGGGTAATGAAACAGAGCCCTAAATGTCTACAATGATGAAGGCTCCAGTGTCCAGTAGGAGCTCCCAGGCCTCCTTGACATCAAGGGCATCCACACCTTGTAATCAAGCAATCCACCCACCCTGAGGGGAAGCAGTTCAGCTTCCCTGTACAGAACTGTGGCCAGTGAAAGCTAAAAATTGATGCTTTAGATGCCAACAGCCAATGCATGGAGGCCACTGAGCTTAAATTACTCTTTTCATTGTCCTGCTCAGCCCTACCTGGTCTGAAGCGATGCTGACAGAATTGCAGAGAACAAAGACAGGACCACTGTCCATCATGGAACAAATCACATTCATTTTGTTAAACTGCTTCTTCTTCCAGAGCTACCTCATGGAAGTGGTCTCTCACATTTGCAAACTCAGGACCCGCCTGGGACAGTACAAACTGATGCAACAGGATGGTGCCATGGTCTGTCCTAAAGGTTTTATGGACTAGACAATGAAAAATGAGAGCTCTACTTAATGATTGTCATGGAAGAAGAGATGATTTGGCTGTGTAGCCACTGTTCACTGCTGAACACAAGTGTCAGCAATGGCAGGATGGGAGAGAAACAGGCTGGAAAAGAGCTGAAAGGGTCAGAAAGGCATAAGCAATGACAGAAACCAGTCTCCTACTATTCTCTTTCTTTCCTCATCTCCTTTGACTAAGCAGATGATTGTCTGGGCAAGTGGGTAGTTTTCTGGATGGACCAAAATGCCCCAAAAAAGACTGAATTGTCACAATTCTGGCCAAAGAGTACTGATATTGGCCTGTCAACCCTAGAAATATAAAAAAGGTTTCAGGGTACATATTCAATTAATGTAGAAATAGAAAAAAAAATGCAAAAAACCAGTGGGACCTGGTTTTATAGGGTCTTTAAACATGGGTCAATTTGCCTTGCAGAGTCATGGGAGACCTTGAAAAGTTTTACAGCAGGGGACAGAACCTGACCAGTTTGCAGCTTGAACAGTTGCAACACTGCTGAAGGCTGTGTCAAATCTTCTAGTTGCTGGAGAGGCACAGCATCCTACAGGAAACATCTCAGTGTTTCACAGCACAAGGTCTTCCATATGATCAGAGGGACAGATACACCCACATTTACACAGACCAAAGCAGAATACTGTGAATAGCAATTTTATTGTGGAGCTGATTACAGCCAGTACAGACTAATCAGCATCTGGCTCATTACACTTCTCTGATATCTGGTCCTTGGACACCTGGCAACTCTGCCACTCTAGGAATAAATCAGATTCATGGGGTCACGTTTGCCCCACTCTTGCACTCAACACCAGGCATTTGCTTTGGCCACTGGTAGGGATCCTGGCCTGCATGGGCTCTTGTTTTGACCCAGTACACAATTTTTTCTCTTTTTCTGGTTGTATATTGGATGTCTCCTATGCAGGAGTGACCAGGACTATTTTTATTAATCTGTGCCCCTCTAGGACAGCACAGCCATCTTCTTTTGCTTTTTCAAAATCACAGTCCAACTCAGCAAAAAACTGCCAACCCCTCTCCCTGTCACCACCCCAGGTGATGTTTTACTGGTAGTGGAGGCTCTGAGACACCACTTTGCCTAGAAATCCCCTTGAAAAAAAGAAGTAGGTTACTGCCTTTTACAGGTTTTCATGTATAATGAAAAACTTTTTTCTTTTCTTTCAATCTGCCAACATTCAGTAAAGACTTTTGACACGTGAAGATAGAAGGGATCTTAATTGCACACTTGGTTCTGACACTTTCCTTTGTTAAAATGAAAGAACTTTTAAGATGAACTTTTTCAACAGGTAGAAAGTAGAGGTTGGAGGAAGGAGAGAAGAGCAGTGCTGACAGGGCCGACTGGGGATAGTGGATTGTTTAGAAGCCAAAATGACTGACTGTTTTCAGTTGTTGAAAGGAACTGTTTTTCCTCTGAGGACCTGATTCATTAAAACTGTATGCTGCATTTACATACATTTCTGCTGAATACCTCTCTTTGCCTGAAAGGCTGGGGTGATGCTGTCTTTTCAAGCAGTCAGTGTCTAGGTCCATGCAGATGACAAGCATTTAGAGAAATCAGGCTTGGATGGGGTCCAGCAGCGCAGCAGGAAATTGGTTTCTGCATCTCCTCTTAGTCAAGAGAGAGCTATCCAAGATCTCTGTTCCCAGCTTGTACCACTGTGATAAAGTGAAGGGTAAAACCAGCTTAGCACAGTTTCCTTGCTTATAACTCAGTGAAGGACCTTCCAAGGACCAACAAGCTGAGTTTACCCACTTTTTCCATTATACCCATGTCCCAAAAGACAGGCGTTACAAGGTGATAATGAAGAACCCAAACTTTATCTAGGACTAGGTGTGCAATGAGTCTCCTAAAAGGACCAACAGAGTTGCTCTTTAGTATTAGAGGCACAGTGATTACATCTATGCCACCAGAATAAACCACACGCACTCTGAGTCATCAGATTGCAATTGTCCAAGTTACTAACCTGTTAGAATGGCTCATTGAATTCTCCCAGATATCTTTTGGGCAAGTCCTGGGGGACAGCCCACAACAGGATTTATTCTCAGGAAGCCACAGGATTTAAGAGACCAGAGGAGAATAACTTTATGGATGCTATCTGACGGTGACAAATGGTCTGCAGATGTGAGGGTGACCCTTGTCACTCTACACTTCACTGGGTGGCACCATTACCAGGCTACACATTGTCACTAAGACCAGTACCAGGTTAATCCAATAAAGATCAGTGTCCTGATTATCTGGAAGTGATCATGCCCTCCTGAGCCCCCATTAGTTCCTTTATTTCCAATACAGGCAATGGAGAACTCTGTGCTAATTTGGACAGATTCCCTTTCTTTTTTTCAATTAACTGAATCATAAACCAAGGGAAAGTAAGTGATGTCTGTTCACTCATGGTCCAGATAATGATTTTCTGAGGACATGGGCTAAATGGAACTGATTTTGTTTCTTTTTTAAAAAGTTTGATGGCACAGTATTTTTAGTTTAGATTTGTTGGTACAATATTTCTAGGCTAATTTACAAAGAACAATGCAACAACACAAGAACAGAAGGCCTTATTTTCTGGGATTTCCTAGTGCTAGGTCCTATATAGAGGAATTCCAGGGAACAAATAACCCCCCAGATGCTGAGGAATCCTGAGAAGCCTCAGAAAAGACTGAGCGGGAGAGGGAAAACAGTAAGACCATCCATCCTTTACAAAGAAGATGGGCTACTATGCTGGTGGGAGACCAGAGCAGACAGACTCTGAATTCTCCCTACAAGGGGTCCTTCTTTCACAACCCCTTTGTCTTAAGGGTTGGGAATCAAGAAGGCAAGTCCACTTCAACATGCAGAAAAAGCAGTGCCCACAATGTACACAAGCCCATGTACAAGTATTGGTGTATTTACACAAACTAAATAATAGAGTAATTTACACCTTTCAGGTATATTCTAATGCTAGTTCACCATTTCCTTTAACCATAAGGCTTGCTGCCAATGTCAGTGAGCTAAGCTAGACTTAACACTGCTAAACTGGGTCCTATTCAGGGGAAAAAAAATCACATTTTAAAATGTTAATATTAATATGGTTCCACAGGGAAAATATTCCTGTTCAAGAGATTCTGTATGTTGCTAGTTCTGAGAATTTGGGGCAGGTAAGCCAGAGATGGATTTGTTTATCTTTAATTTCTATAACAACACTTCTGTCAAGCGATTCTGCTATGAATGAGATCACTCAGGACAAAGGGGAAGTGTTTTGGGAATCAGCTTTATGGGAAGGATTCCACCTGTTTTATTGAAGGAGTTCCATTTTCCTTTTAGACAAATATGTAAAGAATTCCAAGACCTCCTAAGTCAAGACAGATCACCCCTCGGATCCTCCAGACCGACTCCAATATTAGACCTCGACATCCAGAGACATTTAACACATTTCAGGTATGATTTTGAAAGAGGAAACTAAAAATCCATACAGTTGATTTAGACTGCATATAATGTTTTAATGGTATTTGTTCCCTTACCTAAAAGACATGCAAATAATTAATTAACATCCATAATCCCTGCTGAGTGTGCCTATCAAAAATGCAGGTTTGCCCAACAATGTAGTTCAGGTTTGCTGCATTCAACCTGCTTCTAGGACCACAATCTGAGTTTGAATAAGACATTTTCTGCATCTACTGGTCCAATCTCCCCATCTGGCCAGAAATTTGTCTTGCTTTAAATGTGAGCCAAATCACAGTTTACAAATGGATCGTCCAGAATCTCAAATTCTGAACCAATATAAATTAACCAAAATAGAAATAATAGGAAGAAGAGGTCGCATCCTTTCCAATTAAATAAATAGTTCCAGAAGTTCCTCCATGCTACTGAGATCATTTGACAATGTCTTACCAGGACCATTTTATTAACTCCTTGGCTTCCAAAGCAGGCTGGCCTTAAATTATATTACCCACTAAAACAATTTTATTACACTAATTTCTGAACAACACGCTGGAAAAATCTGGGAGAATGAAAGCTGACTCACGCTAAAAAGCCAGACTAATGATATATTTAGACTCAGTTCTTGAGCAATATTTAACATACTGGTTTAAACAGGCTTAGAAGCTGTTTTGAAGACAAAGACCTGTGGTACATGCACACCAAGTCAAAACTTCATTAGAATTTTTGCCTAATTATGCATAAAAGTGTATAGATGTTTTGGGGTCACAAAGATTTATTAGCTCATGTGTTGCTGTGCAATTTCACATTTTTGCTTTAGGCAATGTGTCAGGTACAGTCAGGAGTGACGCGGGATCTTCCAGAGGGCCACTTTGAAATGGTGGGGTCATCTCAGATATCTATCAAAGATAAGTTGGATAAAACATCCTGGAGGTGCTTCTGTTTTTCCTCAGGCCACAGAGAAGAATGCATGACTTTCTGAGGCTACCAATTGTTAATTCTTTCCATCCACTAGCTAATATACGAAAAAACATGCGAAGAACTGTCCCAGAGAGTTGTTTACAGACCATAATATTAAGCAAGTTTCATAGCCCTATAAAGGCTTAGAATTGTGCTGTATATTCTTTAGCACAACTGCTGAGCCACTCTTCTTTTATTGTCTGGACCAACAACTTCTATGTCCCAGTGTCCCAACATCTGTTAGTTACTAACATTCTGATAGATGCTGTGATAACTAATGTTTAGTCTCTCAGACTTTGGGTGGAATCCCAAAAACACCTACCATCCTTCTTCTTCCATACATCTGTTGAGACATGGAGAGGCAAGGGTAATTCCCCATCCACAAATGAACACATTCCTGACATTCCTGTTTATTCTTACACACATCTGTGTGCATCCTATCTGTGTAAGAACACACCTGGACAATCCCACTCCTATTCTCAAGCAGTGCTTTGCATGTGCACACACTGAGCACTCAGGTGTGTGTATATTTTCCATAATACACACTGCAAAACACCCAGCTACATGCACACATCAAGAGAAACATCCTTATTTATGCAGAATGCTCATAGAGGGATTTTAATGAGCTACCTAAGCTTGTGGAAAATGAGATAATTCCCTACTACCTGTGCACAGAAGAAATGTGATACAAGGTGGCAAATCCCCAAGGATTCCTGTGTTTAGAGTAGAAATAGCAGTCAGGATAAAATGCTGAAGGCTTCAGCTACAAAACTATCAACTGATACATCTCCATCCTTCCTTCTCTGATACACATCAGTAGTTGGAGGGCAGAGCTTCTGCAGGCAGCTCCTGGATCAATCAGCACTTTCTTCCATGTGTGCTGCAGAGCCTATGTGTTGGACTGAAGATGGGCACTGGAGGAGCACAGGCCTTGATCCTACTCAGGGTCTTCCCTGGCCTTAAATCAGAGTCTTCTCTGATTGTGAGGCTGAGACCATATTCCTTTTCCAGCAACTGTAGAGATGCTGGGGTCAGGTCAACTTCTGACCTGAACTTCTGACTCTGCTCAGATGCCTGTAGGAGCCCCCATGCAGCCAGCTGGACATCTGCCAGTGAACAGGAATCTCACCTGTTTTGCTTGAGAAATCTGAATTAAACAGGTCTAATGTAGATATCTTCATCAGTGTAACTAGAACTTCTCTCTAAACTCCATTGGTTGAACAGTCTGGTCTAGCTCTCCACCAGAATGGGAGATTAGCAAACCAGTACACACTAGGCATTTACATGGTGGACAGCTAAACTTTATGTAGGCTAAAAAAATCATGATTCCCATCCTCTAAATCCATCAGTCTTCACAGCCAGATCATGTCAACCCCTACTACCACTACAAACTACTGGTTTGAGTTGGAAGGAACTTTAAATCTCATCTTGTTCCAACCTCCTGCCATTGGGGGAAGTAAAGAGTTCCTTGATGTCCCTTCCAACCCAAACCACTCTTTGATTCTATGATGTGATGAAATCTTCAGAAATCTGAAGAGACTTTTTATGACCATAAAAAAAATCAGAGTATGTCAATAATGTCTATTATTTAAATATGTTCTAAGATATTAAAAGACTTTTTGAAAATCTGTAACATCAGATATCTACAGTGGATTTGGATCCAGCCTCTACTACATTGGGGTGAAAGGAAGTTTTCTTTAGGAATAAATTTCCCTACAGCTGTTCGGTGCAGTTGTGTACTCCACTTTCTCATGATGTTACCTGTTCTATGTTAGTTGTTAAGGCCAGGGTTCACAGCCTGGCACAGGTCAGATAGAAGCAGTTTTTATCCCGTTTCCTCTGTTTTGAATCTTCAAATTCATGCTTCTCTCTGAAGTTTTTCTACCGAGTCTTAGTTCATAAAGATCTGTAAATGTGTCCAACCTGAAGAACAGGATAGTCCCCATGAAGGGATCAGAAGTGCTGGGTTTGCTCAAATTCCAAACTCAAATTTCACACAAAGCTCAAAATGGGAAATCTTCAAAGGAACTGCCAGTGAGCCTGAGAACTGCTGGATTTAGCACAACCTTATGCAAAAAATCAGAGGGTCTTGTACACCTCTGGTACACCCCTGTTTTTGCAGCTGCTGTCTGAGATGTTCATCTGACCTGAATTCAAAAAAACTCAATGCTTCGTGAATAATGATTTTCCAATATTATTCAACCCTTAAATTTATAGCAGCAAATATTGTGCACTACCTGAGCCATGATCATTTATGATTTTTTGTTCAACTTGTCTCCCTTTTCAAAACATTTTAGAGGCTCTTACTGCAGAGAAATTACATTGATAACTTCACTTATCAGTAGGCTGTCGAAGTTCTATTGATAACCTCAAATAACTTCAAATATATTGGTATTAACAGATAAAAGTAGTGCCAGAGAGCAGGCATTGGCCATCTGCACTTCTCTTCATCTGCAGAATTTCTGTGTTTTTTTCTGCCTGGTCTGACTAGCACTAACCCAAATTATTCCTGGACAGAGTGGTACATATATATCACCATAAAAGTGTAAGTTTAGAAATCCTGGAAGCATCAGCCCTTATTACAGCCCAGTCAGGTGCCTTGCCTGTGTTATAAATTTAGATTAGGGAAGTCCTGCCTTGCCAGGGCTGGATCCCAAATTTCACAGGCTAAGTGTTGGGATAGCTCAGATTTCCAAGCATTATAGAAGTCTGCATTCAAGAAGAGGTGATAGGTTGTAGGGCTGCCCAACCTGTCCTTCAGGTCTTCTTTGAGCTGGAAAAGTTGGAAGAGACCTTAAAGATCACCTTGTTCCAACCTCTCTGCCATTGGCAGTGACACCTTCCAGACCAGGCTGCTCAAAGCCCCACTCAACCTAGTCTTGCACACTTTGAACAAAAATAATCTTCTGGGTTGTATCTGGTCTGAAAGTCACCACATGAGCTACCCCAGCCCCAGTTTCTGAGCAAAAATTAATCATGAAGCCATGGAGCAAACAAAAAAACCCTGGAAAAATCCATTTCCATTACTAAGTGCTGAGACTTTTTGTCCAGACAAAGCAGCTCTTTATTGTCCTCTAAAGGCTGATCTGTGAAAAGCATTTTTGAGTTTACTACAAAAGAGAAATGTCAGCATATCAGTACCAGAAAAGAACCTGAAATTTTCTATAGCTTTAATGAGAGGAATCCATTTTTCTCACACTTTACTTTCAAAGTGGAGAGACCATAAGGATCATCAGGAGAGTAAAGAGTGAGAAGAGCAAGAGCAAAAGAAAGATAAGTGAAAATTAAAGAGAAAAGGAAAGTACTTACATAAAACTTAGTTTCTTTTAAAATACCTTCTATTGCTTATAATTCAGAGGGGTTTTCCCCAGAATCCCACAGAATCATGTGAGGCTTCTGTGTACGTGTACATGCACCTGAGTATGGAAGAGGGAAAAGCTGGGGAGTTAATTTTTCGTGAAACTTAAGCCAGATTCAAATCCTACAGGCATCAGTAAAGCTGAGGTTTCATCTCTTTCTTTTTTTTTTTTCAAAGCATTTCAGGTTATATAAATCTTTCTTTAGCATTGTAATGTTTAGAGATAGCAAAAGGATAGGTGTAAGCAAAACATATATAAGACATTGAGAATAATTCATTTTAGAAAAGCCCAGAAATAATATACCAGGGCAATCATGACCTGCAGCAGGTAAAGACAAGTCTGGCTGGAAACACAAGAGCTCTGACATACACATGCATAGATCTTATGGCACAGGTAGCTGTAAGGGGAGATGGTGAAGGCTTGGATAGCCCCCAACAACATATTTCTGCTTCTAAATCAGCAGAGCTGAATGGTGACATTGCAACCAACAGGATCTTCTGCTGGATCTGGAACAACATTGACCAGCAGAAACATTAAACCCCATCCTTTTCCTGTTAGGGTTGTACAGGTAGATCTGAGGCATGTCAGTATGGGAAATATCTATAATTCCATATCACTCATATCTGTGGTATTTTTGCACTACCCACGTGTTTAGTGCATCCAGCCCTCTCCAGAGCAGAG